AGCTTCTTTTGGCCTCTACCCACTTACGTTTCGGGTATGGTTGGATCTTTCGGTTGCTAGCAGCCATCTTGTGTAACTTGCACGGTCAGAGATGCACGCAAGCCATCACCTGTTCTCAAATACACGCATCCGGCCAAGCTGTGCAGGTCATTTCTCATCCGTTGTAATTCAGGAATTCATTGTTCTTTCATCTTTTCATCGACCAAATATGTGGTGTTTCCTTGTGATTTTCCATAAATCCCAGTAATAGCTAATATGCTTCCACGCAGTTTTCTATGAAAGATGGTGGCATTTTCCGATAAGTAGGCTCGTCTGTTGCTCCCAGACCAGTCAGTCATCATCTGTGTACCTTCAATTTCGACTGACATTTTGTTTTAAATTTCCGCGTATTCTCATCAACCATTTGCATTCCTTGTATGATTCTTATTTGTTATATTCGTTCTCAACTGTTTACACGTTATGAATCTCAACACACTCCATCTTGAATAAACATCCGTAAATATTCCACTATCCTGTTTTTATCTCACTTTTTAACAATCAAAGGAATGCAAGAAATAAATTTTGTTTGGGTCTTGTTGCACAACTCGTGTCAGGTTTTTTCTGATAAATCGCTGGTGCTTCTCGCAAAACATCCTCTCATGGTCAATCGTTGCCCTTTCATTTTGGAGTAATTCGTTCCATCGACCGATTTGCGTAGTGTTGACCCCATTCAAATTAAAGTGGTATGTGAATCCAACACCAGGTTTAAAAAATATTCGTTCTTGCCGTACCAATTTTGCGATGTTGAATTTCCACGCATACTTTTTGGTTTCCGATTATTCGTTTGCTTCCTTTCTATCCATTGTCCAGATTTCTTCACTGTCTCATGGATTTCATCACCCCACTGTCCGTTGTTTACTCCAAGCATACGAATCGTGGAACACATGCATCCGGTCGAAGTTCATCCATTCCCGTCTCCATCCAAACTACCAAGTCACATGTTGCTTTCAGCACAACCGATCCTAATTGGCCGGGCAAAATGTTCGTCCCACCGATATCTGCCACATCTAGTACGCAATCCCGGACCAAGGATGGGGCATGTAACATGGCTCGTGGGCCGCGATCACTGATTGCGTTATCAACAACATCAGGCACATCAGAATCGCTGACTTTGCCTGCGATTTCTAATCCTCCTGGTTCAGCCGGTACCAGTTATCTCGCCTCACTTCCATTCACTTGGCCCCATGCCCCTGCTGCCGGTGTCCTAGTTGCAGGCCTCATTTCTCATTTAGCGATTTACCCGCAAGTGAGTGGAATTTGAAAATCCGTTTTCAATAAAATTACCTACCCTCCTGTAGATAGCGGCAACGTAGTGGTGTGGTGATGGCGGTCGGGAATAGATAATAATAGAGAAACTGAGTACTTTACATAAAGGTCCAAGTGTTTGTTTTGAAGCTAATTCATTTTGCGTTTGTCATGCACTTTACGGTGGTGACTTTGGAATTTCTCTTCCGACGATTAGCTCATAGGTTTGCCACAACAGTTTTAATATACCAAAATCGTATATTCCAGTCTTGGAACCACGTTGTTTAAAGAAAAGACAATTGCCTTGCCAACCAGAGTCATTTTCAGATCATGCGACATTGTCCATATGTCGTTGAGACTATGGTACAGTTTGCATTATTTTTTCATGTTTGTCTGCGTCTTGTAAAGACGGCCCTCATCTGTTTTTTTATTACATGCCATAATTTGCTTAACCTCAGAAGAGACGAACCCCATCTTGGGAGATGAACGTAGAATAAAACGACAACGTAGTCCGGTATATATATATATATATATATATATATATATTNAATCATTGCAAACCGGACCCCGTGAGTGCATTATCTGCCATTTTATTACTACGGGATTTATTGTGTTCCTCTCATCAGTCTTATTTTTTTCATTCTTGATCGTAGAATAGCGAACCAGGCAAACTACTCACTCGATTTCTTTCTACCATACGAGAAGCATTCGAAGTTTCGCTCCCACCAATCATCGCTTCTTCCACCTCCGCTGATGTGGACACCCAATTGAACTCTGTCCCGTGGGATTCCGATCATAAGGCCATATTCTCAGAATCCCAACTGGCTGACACCTGTTCTGGTTTGCTAATTCTAGCATTGGGGCGGTTAACTGCTAGTGAAGCAGGTGAGTCACGTCTGGAAGCCAGTGGATTGTGTGCCACATTCCATCGTATTTTACTTCCGACTGGGTCTGCTGTCAAAGCTGGTCGCAAAGCTACTCAGATCGAATCGACCGATGACCTGTCGATCAGCCAGAGCAAAATGTTACTTTCTTCCCTGGATTTCACCCGTCCGGGTCGTCTGGGCCACCAGCTATTGACAGCTGCTGTTACTGGTGCCGCGAAGGTGAGTGATCGAGACCGATGTGTAGTGGTAAATTCTTACATTTTTGCAGTCATGTGTACGCTAAAGTACAAGTGTTGTAATATCAAAGTATTTTTATCGGCAAATAAAATTTGAAACGCACTATCATTGATATGCCACAGAAATCTTGTTTATCAAATTGTATTAGTTCATTCCATCACTATGGTTCTTCTGAACGTTGAGGACACTTTGTAAGCGTCAAATTAGTCAAATATTGCCATGCGGATGGTGTACTACTATCGATAGGTATGAGATAACCTTACCATTTGTTCTGACATTGACCCTGTTGTTCGAGGTAGATTTGGGAGACCTTTGTCATGCGACTAACGCTCACATATAAAACCCCATCGAGTTTTGTCTTTTCAACCTCCAGGTGAAACGAGTACCTCTTCAAATGCAGTACGTAAGGTTTCGCCACCACGCCTTATGTGGTTCGCCACTCCAAGTCCCGGGGCTTAGGTTGCCGGTTTCCACCACTGAGCAACCGGTCCTCGTGAGTATGGGGTTCGTCCCCTCTGCTGTTCATCACACTTAGGCGTGTAATTAAAAAAAAATATTGTGAACCTGTCTAAGTTTGCATAGTTCGACGAATTCACCGTGCTGGATCCACCGTCAGTTCTCTAGCCGAGAATAAAACAAAGGTTATCTCCTTTTGATCTTGTTTCTGCCTTAACTTCAAAGGGGTTATCTTTCCGGCCGACCACATGTTCTGGATATGGAAATTTTTTTCTCCAACAAAACAACCCACTCTCAAAATGACAACAATGAATCGTATCCCTAGTGCATTGTTTTGGGCCCGGATTACAAAATTAGACGCTTCACGTATTCGCTTGCTCAGTTTGACGATCAATCTATTAATTTATATGATCCGGGGTGTATGCATTGTCGAGACCCTCGATGTATTCAATCCAGCCTACGGATCATAACTTGCACTTTGTTCACACAGATTCCAGTATAACGTGTCTAACGCTGTTAAAAATCTCATTTTTTGTGTAATTCGACCTCCAATTTTCGGCTTCTCTCACAATCTACAAGTTATGATCTCCATGATGTCGTTCACCAATGATTATCCGACCACTGGTGGATCGGATACAACGCTGTATGTTGTAGGCATGATGGTTGTTAAGGAGTTTTCCTGCCAGCTGTTTGTGGTTCCACTTCACATTGCAACCAGAGTAGACCTTAGTGAATGTCTGTCATAGGCATTTCACGCGTTGCATCTGGTACGGTCCTCCCTGTAAAAAACGTTTTTCGGTTCATTTTTAGATGAGCTGTTGAGTTGAACAAATCACCGGTGTTTTCCGATTGATATCTTATCACGATTTTTCAATCTATGCCAACTCCGAACATTGCGCCTTGTCTGTATACCCCCCGTCCCTAGATGTGATCTTTTAACTAACCCTTGGATTCGTACTCTAAGTCATTTTGTTTTAACTGGAATTAAAGTCACTACGATGTGAAACGGCAATCGAAGTACATTTAAAATTTTGTGAATAAACCCACACGTCGTACACTCCCTCATATGAATAAAGTTGTTTTATATTGGGAACTTACCATGAATCGACTAATTTCCGTTATCTCACTTGTACGCATTGTGATGGTATTCACGCTTGTGAGTGGTATGAATACAAATCTTATTCTGAGAGTGATCATATCTGTCCAGCTGACTGACCAGTCGAGTCCGAATAAACAAGAATGCCATTTTGTTCACCCGCTTCCATAAATGATCGATTACAGTCGATCATTTATAGAAGCAGGTGAGCAAAATGGCATTCTTGTTTATTCGAACTGGACTGTTCAGTAATCGGTCAATTTTCTGCTTGTCTGGATTATGCCTATTGTGTCGCTTTAATGGTTCATATGTATACCGGATACGCATGCCGGACGAGCGACAATGACCGCGAAATTGATCGTGTGCTTCCAGGACA